CCCACTGCCATGTGCTGCTCCTGCCCTCTGCCTTGGAGCTGCTCCTGGGAGCCTCCTGCTCGCTGTGCAGAGGGGGGGCTAATGTCAGGTGTGTCCCCCCCTCCGCTGTTCCCCCTCCGCTGCCCCCATCTCCATAGAGCGGGGGGGGGAATACAACAGGGCTCGGGACGGAGAAAGCTTGCTGGCAGCAGCTGCCGACTCAACTTGCTGATCTACTTAAAAAGGTAATGTACTTAGAGTGGGGTCAGCGTACGTAAAGGGGTAATGCACCTCTCTCTCACACAGGGTGTGTGTTTCTGTCTACCATGCTGTCTCCTCTCCCTCCATTTGTGCTGCCTTGTAGAGTATGAGGCTACATTAACAACAATGTGTTAACTCTTGAGGGCTCCGCCGAGTGCTAGTTCATCATTTAGCAGTAAGGCATTCCCTGGGAAATATCCCACTCTCTTGCACCCTCTGACTCCACCACCTCAACCAAGCTTCACAATCATCATTGCTGTGTGCAGTATTAAATTGTTTAAAACTTATACTGTGTGTTTATATAGATAGGTTCGTTTGTTCCCTGGAGCCTAACCCCCCCCCCCAATTGATGTTAATTATTATGGGGAAATTGGATTCACTTAACATTGTTTTGCTTAAAGTCGCATTTTTCAGGAACATAACTACAACATTAAGCGAGGAGTTACTGTACTTATATTTTTATACATTGTAAGCTCTTTTTGCTGTGTTATACAGCACTTGGCTCAGGAGATTCTGGTCTATGAAGAGGGTCTAAATGTTATAGTAACACAAATAATTGACAGAGGATTTGTTTCTTTTGGCCTCATTCTGCCTGCTTTGTGTGGCTGCAAAAACTTCCTAAAGAAGCGATTCAGAATTTCTGCCTTCATATTCTTTCTCCTCTCCATCCTGGCTTTTCCTTCAATCAAGCTGTGCTCCTCTCTTCAGCACACTACCTGCTATCCCACATTGGCTTTCATGAACTGTTCTTCTACCTCTTTTGTGTGTGTGTGTGTGTGTGTGTGTGTGTGTGTGTGTGGTTTCCCTACTATGTTGGGTGCCCCTGGTCTTCTCCGACACCTCATCTGCTTGAAAAAATAACAAACTCTACCACCTCTCACTCACAAATTTGACTTGTCTCCCTTTATCCAAGCTTCGAAAGCTTCCTCTCCCTCTAATGAATGTCAAGCCTTTATGGCTGTGGATTATGGGGTTGTCCTCCCACCTATTCATGATCACCATGTAACAGAAGCTACATGAGGGATGATTAGCTCAATTTTCCACTCATCTCTTAAGAAACATCTTTGTATTAGAATAGGAGTTTATGTACAGTACTGCACCCACACTTATTCCTGCAGAAATAGCTTGGAACAAAAAAAAATTGAACTTTGGTAAATATATGCTCATAAAATTAATAGGCATGGACTCATTCTTTACCGTATTTAACACTGTATTGTCAACAGCTGATTGAGTTTGAAACCGAAGCCCTTGGATGTGGTATGAAGTTCGCTCCCTTAAATAGGAGAAATTAATGTTTTAATGTACTTATTGGTTTATTAAAAGATTAGTGACTTTCTCCTTGCAAGAGGAGGAGAGAGAAATCAGAGAAGACCAAATCTCTCTCACATACAAGAGGCTCCTAGCAAGAGCACTCTAGTGCAGGGGTTCTCACAATTTTTTTTTGGTAGCCTCAGAATACAGCCACCAACTCTTGCTAGTGGCCACTCTGACAGTTTTTCCTAAAATACATTATAAACTTTTAGGGAAAAAAATATACACATACATGCCTAAATCATTGTAATTTATGTAGGGTTTTTATAGATTCAATCATAAAAATAATGTACAGTTATCTCTATTCTTTACTGGACCTAAACCGAATAGAAACACAAATACGATGCTTTACAGGTTCTTGTTTTTTGTTGTTGTTTCTTTTGCTTTTTTGGTTGCCCTTTTTTTAAGACTTGCCAGCTAGCAAGTCTGCTTCTATGAAAAGTGATATTTGTATGTTTGTTAATATCACTTTTCACAGCAGCAGACTTGCTAGCTAGGTGGGAAGCAGTGAGAAGTGATATTAACAAACATACAAATATCACTTCGTAGCCCAGGAGACTGTGGGCCCCATTTGAGAAACGCTGCTGTAGTTGATGGATAATTAAGCTAGTGTCAGCAAAAATAACAAGGAGTCCTTGTGGCCCCTTAGAGACTAACAAATTTATTTGGGCATAAGCTTAGTCTCTAAGGGGCCACAAGGACTCCTCATTATTTTTGCTCATACAGACTAATACGGCTACCACTCTGAAACCTAAGCTAGTGTCAGGAAGTTTATTCTTGAAGAGGCTTATCAGGTTGTAAGTCAATGGCTCTCCAGCAGACAAGAGACTCTCAGTGAAGAGCTGTTTCTACACTGCACATCTTCAGTGCTGTATCTGCATCACTGTAGCACTTCAGTGTAGTCATTCACTACAGCCCCAGGAGGGGTCCTCCTGTCACTGTCTGTAATCCCCCTCCCCAAGGAGAAGGAGCTAGGTCAACACAATTACTCCATCGACCTAGCACTGTCAATAGTAGGTGTGGTTAGGGTAGCATAGCCAAATCTCTACAGGGTAGACTTTTCCACACTTGAGAGACAGCTATGTCTATAAGTTTTCAGTGTGGAGTATCTCTGAATGAGAAGCATCTCTGCCTCTCAGCTCTTGGCCTTACAACCTCATGGGACCTCCTTGTCAGCCTCCTCCTAGTGATGGCCAACATGGCCATCTATAACAGGGAGAGGATGTTGGCTGAGGGGGTTCTCTGTGACCGTGGGGCCTATTTCTGTTCCTCTCTCTGCTCATGTATCTGGGCAGAGTTCCTCTGAGTGGTGTCTGCTGGCTCCCTTCACCTTTTGAGGAGCAGGGGGTGCTATCTGGGATTCTCTGCTCAGTGTTGCCTTCAGGTTCCCTACTATTGATCCTTTGACCCTCACACCTGTCCCTGTTTTTTTTCTGTTGTCCCCTGTAATTAGTTGAGTCCTGGACTCAGTGGATCCTCCCCATAGCCTGAGGGAGGGTCTGTTAGCTGTGGGTGGGTGCACCTCCCAGAACCTGAATAGGAGCTCTTGCACTCATTATGCAAAAATAAGTCACAAGAAACCATTCCTCAGTTGTAATGGCAAGCTGAAGGCAGTGTTTGGTAATGATTTGTTACTTAGGGCTGCTCTACACTGGAAACTTACATCAGCACAGCTGTCTTTCAGTGGCCTGAAAAATCCACACCCTGGGAGTGACATGGCTATGCTGTAGACAGCACTAGTTTGACAGAAGCATTCTTCCATTGACCTAGTTCCTACTTCTTGGGGAGGTGGGCTACCTGCAGCCACATGAGAACCCCTCCCATTTGCATACACTCCTGCAGCTGTGCCACTATTAGGTGTTAAATGTAGACATAACCTTAGAGGCTTTAGATCAGGTTCAGCTGAACTGCTTCAATCTACAGTAGTTTTTCTAGTATAAAGCAGCTTTGACTATTGCTACCCTTACCTAGTCTACCCTAGAATAGTTTGCATTTGGAATTTACAATGACCTGGTCTCCATTCAAAGGCTAAGTCAGCCCATCTAATGGGTTCAGCATAGTTAAACCAACCTAATCCCTAGGAATTCTTCCATCTACCTACCACCTCTTGGGGATGTGGATTACCTACACCAACAGGAGAATGCCTCCTGAGAGCAGAAGTAGTGTCTATACTGAAGCACTAACATAAGTATAGCCATACTGGGTCAGACCAAAGGTCCATCTAGCCCAATATCCTGTCTTCTGACAGTGGCCAATGCCAGGTGCTTCAGCAGGAATGAACAGCAATTAGTGAGTGATCCAACCCATTACCCATTCCCAGCTTCTGGCAAACAGATGCTATGGCAGGGGTTCTCAAACTGGGGGTCGTGAGGTTATTACATGGGGGTGTGAGCTGTCAGCCTCCAGCATTTATAATGGTGTTAAATATATAAACAAGTGTTTTTAATTTATAAAGGGGTTACACTCAGAGGCTTGCTCTGTGAAAGGGGTCAGCAGTACAATAGTTTGAGAACCACTGTGCTATGGATGCTATCCTTGCCCATCCTGGTTAAGAGCTGTTGAACTTATCTTTTTAGAACCCTGTTATAGTCTTGGCCTTCACAACATCCTCTGGCCAAGAGTTCCACAAGCTGACTGCACTGTGTGAAGAAATACTTCATTTTGTTTGTTTTAAACCTATTTAATTTGGTGATCCCTAGTTCTTGTGTTAGGAGGAGTAAATAGCACTTCCTTATTTACTTTCTCCACACCCGTCATGATTTTATAGACCTCTATCCTATGCCCCCTTAGTTGTCTCTTTTCCAAGCTGAAAAGTCCCAGTCTACTTAATCTCTCCTCCCATGGAAGCTGTTCCATACCCCTAATCATTTTTGCCCTTTTCTGTACCTTATCCAATTCCCGTATTTTTTTTGCAATGGGGCAACTACCTCTCCACAAGTGTTTAAGATGTAAGTATACCATGGATTTATATAAAGGCACTAGGATATGTTGTGTTCTCTTTTCCAATGATTCCCACCATTAGCAGCTTTTTTGGCTGCCATTGAGTGGGTGTTTTCAGACAATTATCCATAATGACTCCAAGATCTCTTTGAGGAGTTACAGCTCATTTAGACCCCTTCATTTTATATGTACGGTTGTAGTGTTTCAAGCCCTTTAAAGTCTCTGCTCTCAACAGCAGAGTGGGTACTCTAAATCACATGGAGCATGCTCCTGCCATTGGAAGGCTTTGATAGCTGATCGGACCAAAGATGGTCCTGCAACCAGTTTTGTTCCACAGCTGTACTGAGCTGTTGCAAAGACAAGCACCAAAACAAGCCATTTTATATGTCTGTACAATAAGGGAACCATTACAACACCCGTCCTTTTACCATGTAAGCAGTATGAGATTGACGCAGAAGCAGAGACCTTCTCCCGCCCAGCTGTTATCTTTAAAATGGAAGTATAGAGAGTATTTGCATTGCACTTTAATTGCACAGGTAGTTTTAAATATTAAATGGAGAAAGCAATTCACTGAAACTAAATAGCAATAGAAAACTTTCATAAGCATTTATATAGTAAGTTATGTAAAATTTACAAGAGATTTTTAATCTTATGTTGAGCCAACTGTCTGTACATAGAGGGAAGCATAGCCCCACTGCCTAAGCAGGCTATTGTTGTGACAAGGACTTAAACTCCTCCCCCCCCTTTACTGCCCCTGAAATAAATTTCTCCTAGGTATGGAGGGTTTGCCCAAATTGGGCAAGGTACAGTGTAGGTACAAGAGCACCTGTTTCTTTCTGAGGGTAACATTACTTTTAGTTTCTGATAAGGGCAATTAGCCATTTTGTTTTCAAGAGAAAGTACTGGTACAAAGGGCACCATTATACCCAGTTCTATTGAGTTTGAGATGGGCACAAATTAGCAATACTTGGTTTGGTGAAAACACTTTAAAAAGCAATGTTCTTTAAGAAAATAGCCATCTACTTTACTTCTGGCTTAAGAAAAAGGGGAGATGGTTCCTGCTACCCTGCATAGATAGTAAAGTGTTACTCCACAGAAGAGATGCAACACTAATGAATAAATCAGACACTGATCAACTGGGGAAAAAGTTCATTGGCAAAAGTATCTTCCCAAGAATGGACTGTGCTCAGTGGAGAGGGCAGATCACTGAAGGGAGAAGGGGATCCTTCATATCCAGAGTCACTACATGCATCCAACAAACAGCAAGAGGTCTCAAGGCTGTGATCAGAAGAGAGCAGGTTTGAGATACTCAGCTCAGGCAAAAAGTTGTCTATAGGTTCGTCTTTCACTGAGACTGGGGACTCAGGGAGGTCCTTGTCTTCTGAGGGACAGAGAGATGCTTCCTCTATTTTCATTAGCATATCAGCTTGGCTGCCCATTTTAGCAGGGATCTCAGAGATTAGGGGCTTGGTGTACACGTGGTCAAACCGGATCAGTTCATTAATGGCCTCCAACTTGGCTGATGAGGACCCCACAGAGGGAGTGGGGGAGGCTGGTAAGGAATCTGATTCTTTTCCACAGATTTCTTCCTCAAGCTCTTCCAAGCACGATGACTCTGAATTACCATACCGGAGGAACATGTCTGGGTCCAGGCTGTCCAGAATGCCCAATAGCAGATCAGACTGCAGAATACAAAACCCACCATTTTAAAAGGAACATGCAAACTACTGTACACAAACCAACCCCTCCTGACCCCCAGTAGGCTAAGCTCAATATGACCTGAAGACCTGATAGGTACTGAAAGGCAGCACAAATGGGAATGGCACATGTACTCTGATATGCTCATTTACTTAACCCAGAGCTTTCTAGTCCATTAACCCTTCTAGGAGCTTGACTGGCACCATTAGACTGTTCTCTGCATTACTGATTTGCATTACAGTACCCCTAATGGGGCCCCACTCAAGATCAAGTACCCTGCACAGTGGTGTGTACTGTTCAAACAAAAACTTTCCTTGCCTACAATCTCTGTAGAGCCAGCAAACAAAGGCAAAATCTGGAAATAAAGAGTCAGCACCAGGTACTAGTCTGAGCAGTAGTTTCCATGACCACAAGGTTATCAGTATCAACTAGTTTGTTCCTTGGCTTTTAGCTTTCACATGTCCTTGTATCTCTGACTCTTTGGGATCAAGACAGCAGTTGAACAGTAACCCGTAGACTTCACAATATTAGGCTACTTAAAACCTGTCCAAAGCTACAGTAGAAATACAGCACGTGCTTTGAAGGACTGTATGTTTTCAGGGTTTTTACATGCACACAAACTGAAAATGAGCTAACAGGTGATGCAGCTACAAACAAGGCTAATATTCTGGGGGGTATTAACAGGAGTATCATATGTAAGACATGAAGCAAATGTCCTGCTCTCTTAAGCACAGGTGAGACCTTGGCTGGAGTACTGAGTCCAGTTATGGGTGCCACACATTAGGCGAGATGTGGACAAACTGGAGAATGTCCAGAGGAGAGCAACAGAAGTGATAAAACCTCACCTATGAGGAAAGGTTAAGAAACTGGTCATGTTTAGTCTTTAGAAAAGACTGAGTAGAGAGGGGATAAGTCTTCAGTTATGTTAAGGGTTGTTATAGAGGAAAAGATAGTTGTTCTCCATGTCCATTGAATGTAGGACAAGTAGTAATGACTCAATCTGCAGCCCAGGAGATTATACTATGTCTACGCTACAGACTTTACAGCAGCACCACTGAAAGGTCTCCTGTGTAGCTGCTCTATGCCAGTGGAAAAGAGCTCTCCCGCTGGCATAATGAAGCCACCCCCAATGAGCTGCAATAGCTATGTCAGTGGGAGAGGGTTTCTTGCTGACATAGTGCTGTCCACTCCAGCACTTTTGTCCGTGTAACCTCGGTCAGTCAGGGGTGTGTTTTTTCATACCCCTGACTGCCAAAATAGCTAACCTAAGGCTTTGTCTACACTAGAAATCTAACTATAAAGATAGGTCACTTCCAAGGAAGGTGACAAAAACCTCCAACAACAGGGATTCTAAGAACAGATTAAACAAGCCTGTCAGGGATGTTCTAGGTATCCTTAAGTCCTGCCTCAGGGCAGCGGACTAGATGATCTTTCAAGGTCCCTTCCAGACCTATATTTCCAGGAGTCTATGCTTCATGTTGCAAAAGTTGAATGATAATGGTTATGGGAACAATACCTAATGTACGCTATTTAACTGCCTTCAAAATAATTAACTTAACTTCCGCTTAATTTACAGTCCTCTTTTTGTCCTATGACCGCAGGAGTGTTAATAAGCCACTTCATGTTGAATGGTCTCTTAGAATACCCAATATGCAATGTTGGTCCCAGAATATTAGAGAGACAAGGTGGGGGAGGCAATATCTTTTAGTGGACCAACTTCTGTTGGTGAGAGACAAGCTTTCAAGTTTACACAGGTCTCTCCCACCAACAGAAGTTGGTCCACTAAAAAGATATTACCTCCCCTACCTGTCTTTGACTTGGGCCTGGTCCACACTAACCCCCTACTTCGGACTAAGGTACGCAAATTCAGCTACGTTAATAACATAGCTGAATTTGAAGTACCTTAGTCCAAACTTACCGCAGGTCCAGACGCGGCAGGCAGGCTCCCCCGTCGATGCCGTGTACTCCTCTCGCCGAGCTGGAGTACCGGCGTCGACAGCGAGCACTTCTGGGATTGATCCCAGAAGATCGATTGCCTGCCGCCGAACCAGGAAGTAAGTGTAGACGTACCCTTACTGGAAACAGCTTGTATGTCAGTAGTTCTTGCCCAAGATTCACAAGCACAAATGTATCTGAGAGCATCTGGGCCTTTGAAATATGCCAGCCTATCAAGAGCTGCCTCAACACATTCACACCTGAACTACGTTTTTGGTGTGTTACAGCTCAAATTCTAGTGCCCCTAATACCACAGCTGGGCTGTAATTCTTTCAAAAAACTCATGATTTGTAAACAGGGAATGACTGCTCACCTCAGAGTCTGAAGAGTCAATGCCATCAGAATCCATGTGGAGATTGTCAGGAGGGGTGACTGCTGGGCCTGCACCTGCTGCAGAGGAACACATAGTCTGAGTGCTGCGGACTCAGCGGACCCGGTCACCATCCTGATTTCATCCACCTGTGATTCCATCACCACCTGTAGCAAAAGAGAAAACTAATGATCAGATATTATTTTGACTCCCAAACCACCTGCTGAAGTTCTTGCCATTATTGCAAGGATATGATACTGAGTGCCATGCAACCATCCTTTGGCAGTCGGTTGTGTGAATATCAACCTCACTTGGCTAGTACCAAAAATGAGGAACAGCGTTGCAGAGATTGGGAAGTGAGATGACTGTTGTAGACACGTGTTCAAAATACACCACTGTGGTTGAGCTTTAACTTCAGTCTGAGACATCCGTTAACAGTACACTGGATCCACAACCACCTTCTGAAGGAGGCTGACCTTAGCAGTCCATTATTTTCCCTTTGTGCCACGTACTGGATATTCACCACCAGCTCTTGTGGCCACATTTAATGTTACTCTGCATTCAGGTCACATGGAGACCAACATAAGATGTAGATTTGAGAGGGTCCTGAATTAACTCTTTGAATGCTGCTGGGTTTTCTTCCAAGCTGCCAGCCAGCAGCCACTTAAAGCTCAGTGGAGATGAGAGGCCACCCCCTCCCCATGTAGCAGTTAATATTAACGATTTTGGAAGGATATTAAGCTTCAGGATGTATTAAGTCAATCGATTAGATTTTGATGAGACCTAGTATAAGGGCAGATCATCCCACCTCACCTACTGGGGGTTTCTTACACCTTCCACTAAAGTATCTGGTGCTGCCCATCAGCAACAGGAGACTGGACGGCCGGTCTCAGACACTAAGGCATCAAGGAGCTGCCAGTAGAAACATCTGTCCCATTCCCCCACAGGAAACAGGTGCACACTCACCTTAGGCTCCCTCGCCTCCTCCTCCGTCTCCAGCGCATCTAGCCCCAGCCGACAGCGCAGCTCCTGGTTCTGCACTGCGAGGCCCTGGGTCTTCTCCCGCAGGAGCTGGTTCTCTAGCAGGAGAGTCTGGTTCTGAAAGAAGCCCACAGCCGACCTCAGCGGAGCCGGCCCCAGTAACCAGCGCCGCTACCCCCCTGCTCACCACGCGCTTCAGATCCGTGCGGCGCCCAACTCCCTCCCCAAGGGCTCGGCCCAGGCAGCGGCTCCAGCCTCACCTCCTGCTCCAGCTCCAACACCTGCTGCTCCAGCTCGCTCATCCGCGCCTTCTTCCTGTCCCGGGCGCTCTGCGCCGCCACGCGGTTCTTCAGCTTCCTACGGGGAGACAGCGCAGCTCTGAGCCCGAGCCCCGGCCCCGGCCCCGGCCCCGGCCCCGGCCGAGACGTCCCCCCCCCGGCGCCCCGCTCACCTGCGCCCCGCTCACCTGCGCAGCGCCTTCTCCTCCGGACTCAGGTGGGTGAGTCGCTGCCGCTTGCGGGCAGGCTGCTGGGGCTCCGGGCTGGGGGAGCGCGGGCCCCCGGCCGGGAGCACCACGGAGAGGGGCCGGCTGGCTGCGGCGCCCAGGGGCTCGGCTGCTTGGCCGGGGACGAGGAGCAGCCGCGGGGCCGCGGAACCGTGCAGCGCCACCATGGCAGACGCGGGGCTGCTTCGCTACTGCTGAGAGCCCTGGCGCTGCCAACGTTCCACCGACCGAACGCTGGGCTCCGCCGCGTTCCACTCGCCTTCTGCCACCGTGGCTTAGCCCCATTGGCCAGTGCCGTCTGACGACAAGCACTGAGTAGCGTGCGATTGGCCCGTGACAAGGGGCAACGTGCAGATAAATTGCGTCAGACCGGTTGGGGGAGGGGAGCGCTAGCGGGAGGCGGGGCCGCGCCCACGCGGACTGCGAGAGTCGGAGCCGGGCCCGTGTTGCTGCCGTCGCGGCATCATTGCATCAGCTCCGCCTGGTGCCTCCGCTCGCCGTGCTGCCTGCGCCCGGACCCGGCTTGCGCAAGAGCCTCCGGCTACGGCGCGCGGCCCTGTACAGGTGCGCAGCGCCTTGCACCCAGAGCGCCGCCTGCATTAATAGAGACCTGGACACGCCAAGCGTGACTCAGACCTGGGAGAGAGCCGCGGGGAGGCTGGGCAGAGACGCTAGTGCCCCGCTGGAAAAGCGGCGGGTTCGGGCCAGGGAAGAGAAATAAACTTAAGGGCCATTAGATCCATTTCACATGCATCAAGTTTCAAAGCAGTAACAACTTACAGGATTTTGTGTCTTGTTTTTATTTGAATTATTTTGTAGAAAACTGTACGTTTTAACAACGGTTAGTTTCAGGTATTGCTGTATATGGAATGCAAGCATGGATACAAAAAATACAAGGTCTTTGTGCCAATTGTATCATTTGCCTCTGTTTCAGAGTAGTAGCCGTGTTAGTCTGTATCCACAAAAACAACCAGGAGTCCTTGTGGCACCTTAAAGATTAACAAATTTATTTGCACATAAGCTTTCATGGGCTAGAGCCCACTTCATCAGATGCATGAAGTGAAAAATACAGGAGCAGGTATAAATACATGAAAGGATGGGGGCTGCTTTACCAAGTGTTAGGTCAGTCTAAGAGATAAATCAATTAACAGCAGGATACCAAGGGAGGAAAAATCTGTATCACTTGTGTGCTTTGCTTTTCTAGAGCAGTTGCCCTTCACCTTCCAAGTGGTTGGGCATATGAGGACTCCCTCTCTTGTGTTTATTTCTGCAGTTTGTTTGCAAATTAAAAATAGCTAAAGAGTAAAATAACCAAGGAAAAAGATTAGCTTAAAAGGTTCAAAGGCATCACACTACAGCTGTGTTCTTTGGCATTATTCCAGTGTTAGGGTACTGCCTAGTTCCCTGTCTGTGGTATGAAGAACAAGCTATCCACTGTAAGTATTTGTTCACCCGTTCAGTGCTAACTGCACCATGTGTCTAGTGACGGCTGATATCTCACACCTTTGATTTGACACATTCATGAGGAAAATGGCAGCTTTGAATGAAGGTCTCTTTTTTGGAAGGGGATGAAAGTTTATTCTGGTCCTGCCCTTCATGCTCTTGCAATTGGATTTTTAACTATGGGTCTTCAGGACCTGCGGGCCCCCTCCTGTGCTTCTCAGCTTGGCACCTGGGGAATGCATGGTTGCCCTTCAGGGCCTACCAGGCCCCACTTCTTCCTTTTTTTTCATCCTGTATTTTAGCACCTGCTGACATAGTGCACCCCAGATTGTGTTAGATTCTATAAGAACTTAAAAGAGCTGGGAGGGGGCAGACCTGTGATTGCAGGGCCCAAAAGCGAGCTCCGCTGGAGCCAGCTGAACAGAGAGAGTTACAGGCAACATTATTAACAGCAAGTCTTGTAATTCTGGATGGTTGAGGTTTTGGCAATCCTGCTGGAAACTTTACTAAATAATCTTAATATAATTAATAACAGTTTTGTTGGGTCAGAGTCACGGGGTCTGGTCTGTTGTAACCCTCCAGACTGGGCCTTCGGTATCTGCTATCCCCATCTCTCTCTGGCTGCCTGCAGAGAATCCCGCCAAGCCATACTCCTGCGGGAAGCTTGTACTGTGCCCTGTCAGGGTGCAACACTCTCAAGGAGTATTTACAACGACACAGGCAGCCTTTTCAAAACAGGTAACTATTTTTAGTCACCTGACATACAGAATTTGAAAGTCCTTGGGTTAGTCCATCTTGGTCAAACCAGTGCCATGATGAGCCAGCCAAGCTGTGTTGAGCTCTGGCTCTCTCTTGTCTCCTTCCCCCCCCCCCCACCCTTGTTTCCCTAGTCCGGGCTCCTTAGTCCCTCCAAGACTGCCAGCTTTATTCCAGCCACCTGTCACCTTGTTCCCCAACTCAGTTCACAAGTCTTGCTTGCTGGGGTTTCCTGCTCTTAGATGTTGATTGCTCAGTCATTGGGACATCTTTGTCTTGCTGGACCTCTGCTGATTTGGGTCTCTTTCAGCCACTTTTTAAAATGACTCTATTAATTCAACCAGACAGTGAGGGTGGATAAACACACATACACACCATGGTGTTCTAGGAGTAGTGTTACCCTTTTGCACCCATTTGGTAGCAGTGCAACATACAGAGGGAAACTGAGGCATGCCTGAGATTCCTAAAATACATTACAAAAATTCCTGTTTCATCACACCATGCTATTTTCCAATAAAATCCAAACTAATATTAGTGGCTGTCTTGTAGGAGACTTCAGCTGTTAAATAAGTCAAATACTGAAGTCATGACTTAGTCAAAACTCCTATAAAGTCAACTGGCCAGATCTTGACCTATTCCCTATCAGTGCTCTGGCTGCTTTGTGATGTGGCTGGAAAACTAGGATACCCATCTATGAGAGGAGAATTCCCAGGCAAAGGGAATCCTAAGGGGATGTACAGCCAGCAGTTAATTCTCTCAGCCCTGTCACCATAGAGGGTATGACCAGGAAAAATGGAGCATAGCCAGAACACCTTTAAAATTTTTATTAAAGTTAATGTTTAAAATTAAATATACACAAGTTAAGAGGGAAGGTACTGTACATCTGGGGTCAGGCTTGAGTTATGAGGGATTACAGGTATTGGTTGCAAGGATGAAGAGATACATACATATCACATAACCAGCATAGACCCAGATTGGGGTGCAAGAGTTTTTAAAGTGTCAGTGGATAAGTGGGCTTGGGTACGCCACCCATGGAATGTATAAGGAGTCCAAGTCAATATCGGTGTAGCGAATAAGTACATGGGTGGGCTGTGTCCCTTGGTTCATCAGGGAAGGAAGTGGGTTATTTCCCTGGTCAACAGTCTCGGTTACTCAATGTGGTATTGACGGTGTCCTGTGATGTGTTCCGTATAAATGTCTCTGGACCACCTGATGGTGTCAGACACCATGAGCTGTCTCATGAGCCGGGCGTAGCTTCGACCGACTCCACACGCTCTCAGAACCAGCTCGTTGTGGGGGTCCCACGTTCCAGTTATAGCCAGCAGCCAGAATAGTTCTTTGGCACCTCAGGCAGCTGGGTGTAAGCTAGAGCAGCCTTCAGGCTGTACTGATTTTCGTCTGGCCTCAGAATCCGGGGGCCACAGATGTGTTGTGTGTGGTACAACCAGCCATCTTTGTCACACTCACCTGATGAGCTGCATTGCGTACAAATTGGATGCAGCTCAGAATCTGAGCCCATGGGCTTTTTGCCTGCATAAAACCAGAGTAATTAACTCAGGTTTTGGACCAGGAGCTTGTTTAATCTTCCTGAGCGGCTTTTATTTTCAAAGATTTTCTGTTCTACATTTGTAGCTAGTGAGGGCAAGAACAGAAATGCAAAACTTTTGAAGTAGTATACAAACTAAAGCAAACCAAGCTGTATGGTGCTTTTCTGACTCTGGCACTTATTTTTCATTAACTTTGACACCGGTTAGTGAATAATGATGCAAAATATACCACCTGTCACAGCTCCAGTTGAGTACCCTCTCCTGACCTCTCACCAGACTGCTGTGAGGGAACCCAGCTGCTGAATCTCCTGTATTTTAAGCCTCTACACTCTGAACAGAGTCCCTACACTGTCCCTATTTTAGGGCCTCTGAGCACACTCTGTCACCTGCTTCTGAGAGTTTCAACCACATAGCCCACAGCCCAGTCCATGGAACCAGTGCTAGGCCCTCAGATTCCCTCCCTATAGCTTAAAACACACCCTCTCCCAGAGCTTCACCCACAAGTGAGCCTTCTGATTTACTTCTTCAAGAGGGCATGTGGTAGGTGTAAATGCTGAACACAGACAGACTGGCACCAGATTCTAAATCAACATTCTTTAATAGCATGAAAAATACACAGATCTATCCAACAATAATAAACCCTATATGCAGTTCCCTGCATCATTTTTTTCCACCACTCCAGAGGATTCTTTGGGTTGGGGTCAGAGTCATCTGGGGCTATCCAGGATCCTTCCTTTGCAGTGCCTAGCAAAGGTTCTGACACACAGCCTTCTTCCCAAGCACGCTTCCTCTGACCATGGCTAGTCCATTCCCTTCCCCTTCCCCGCCCAAACTTCCTGTGTGTCTCTGAGTCTTCCCCCTGTGACCACTTTTATAACCTTCTGCTTTTGTCATTTCTTCACTTTACTTTGGCCTTCTTGCTAACTTCCTACTCTCTCAACCCCCAGAAAAGGTGGAGAGAACTGGTTTCCCCTAGCATGCAGTTACTCTTTTGTTCTCCCCAGGTAAGGTCTGTTCAGCTGCTGGTAGTCTTTAACAATGGGTGATACATGCTTAAAGCTTGTCAGAAGAGGAGGATACACAGAAAGGCCTTTCATCATACAGACATTTCATAACAACTTTATAATATGAACCAGAATTCATAAGTTTGTACAGACTCCCCCAAATGGTTACACTCTGTAAGCCTGAATAAACCCCTTACACTGTAAATTATATATTCAGTTCTTGTTGATTGCTTGTAATCTTACCACTGAGACCAGCTAGGAATGGATGTGGAGAAGCCTGACCTAGGAAATATGCACTCATTTTTTAAAAATACTGCAGTAGCTCCCCTGCGTGTACAGTCTCTAATAATTATATCGTGATGTTGCAGGGCCAGAGTGAAAGAGTGAGAAACAAAAGTTCACCAGAAGCTCAGTCTTGAACTGATGAATGGCAGCATCTCCAGGTAGGTTTTACTGCAGTTCAGGTTTAATTCAGATTTGCACCATCCCTTGTCTTTTTCCTCTCTGGC